CTTAAGCTAGTCAACCTGTCTGGACTAACATTACTAGACAACAAATCTCTGAATATCTATCTAACTAAAAAACAACCTAACACAGTACAAAAACGGTTTTGGTGGCCCACTTTGAGAGAGGACGTCCAGGAGTTTGTGGCCGCCTGTTCAGACTGCCAAAAATAAGACTTCCACTGGCAAACCTGCGGGGCTGTTGTGCCCCCTTCCCGTTCCCCAGAGACCTTGGACCCACATCTCTAATACCACTATACTCACCTTAGTAGACAGGTTCTCTAAGATGGTTCATTTTGTTCAAGTACCAAAATTGCCGTCAGCCAAAGAAACGGCACATTACTCATACAGCTCGTATTCTGTTTACATGGCCTTCCCAGAAATGTGTTGTCCGGGGGCCCGGTTCTGGACTGAATTCTGTCAATTCCTCGGCATATCTGTCAGTCTTACTCCAGGTTTTCACCTTCAAACAGGCAGCTGGAGACTGGCCTGCATCTCTTGTGTCAGGACCCTTCAAGAAAATGCTCTTTATTGTTATCAGTAAGGAGAAAGCTACGTATCTGCTCAATCTCGTCTGGCGTTTTAATTGAGTTTTACCCAGACAATGCTGGCAATGTTACACTCCAGCCCTGACACAATACATGTGAATTTAAAATATGAGGAAGAGTTCTCCTTTAACTCTGCGCAAGAAAGAGAATAAGTGTACTTCCCAAAATATGAAACAAACTCTTTTGTGGGTTGCCAGATGTGATTGAGAAAGTCTGCATGTTCTATGGCTTACCCAAGCAAAACTTGAACTTTATTTTTACTTTGCTCTTAATGCAAGACCCTAACTGGGTTGAAGGGTGTTTATGATAAATTACAGAGGAGCAGCTACACAGCAGCTTCACTTGACAGTAATATAAAGCAGCTAAAGAGATGATCAACCTATAAGTTGTTTTTATTACTAACATATTATTGAAAAAAAGTATAAAGTAAAGCCTTAAAGAAGAGTTCATTAAATGTTAACAATGCCACTGGTTAAACTTTCAAAAACTGCCATTTGTCAGAGTGGGACATGGAAATGATGCATGACTTAAAATGAAAAAAAAAGTGAATAATAAATAAAACAAAAAAAAAATTATAGGACCTGATGAGGTTAATAATAAAGATGATGTTGAGGGACACATGCTACATAATCTCTAAGGGCTTCTTGACAAAGTGGGAGGGCAGTGTAAGAAGAAGATAAAATAAACTGTTCACCACCTCAGCCCTGCTCCTCTCCTCCCTGATGGACGACACTTGGGGCTCTGAGCTCTGCTTCCCCAACCTCAACTCCTCCTGCAGACGTCTGCTGCGACCACGCTCTGAGACTCTTCTACTCTACACCCTAGTTGCATCTGCCTCTCTGCTCACTGTGATACTCAATTTGCTTGTCATCATCTCCATCTCTCACTTCCGGCAGCTCCACACCCCGACCAACACTCTGCTCCAGTCTATGGCTGTGTGTGACCTCGGACTGGGGCTGGTGGTGATGCCTGTTGAAGGCATTCGTTACATTGAGTCGTGTTGGATGTTGGGGAGGATAATGTGTGCTCTGTCTCCTTATGTTTATTACATCCAGTCCTCAAGCTCTTTGGGCCACATGGTGCTCATATCCATCGATCGTTATCTGACTATTTGTGACCCGCTGATCTACTCCTCTAAGGTCACTCTGACTAAAGTTAAAATCTGTATCTATCTCTGTTGGACCTGTTCAATTACCTACAATGTGTTACTTCTAATGGACCACTTAGTGCAGCCGGACAGATTCAACTCCTGCCATGGGGAGTGTGTGGTGGTGACAAACCAGAAATTTGCAACTGCAGACTTGTTTATAACCTTTATTGGACCTTGTACTGTCATAGTTGTGTTGTATATGAGGGTATTTGTGGCTGCCCTTTCTCAGATGCGTGTAATTCAGTCACAGGCTGCTGCTACCAAGGCCAGGGCAGCTCCAACTGCTAGGAAATCACAGCCCAAGGCAGCCAGGACTCTGGGGATTGTGATAATTGGGTTTCTATT